AATCACTACACACGGGCACCTAGCCCAGCACAAGGGCTGACCTTGGGCATGCACATGAGTGCTGAGCCTGGCGTCTGGCGCTCCGCAACGCCTGACCGCCGACGGGGTACTGAACTGAGAAGCAAATAAGCGCACGTATCTGGTCCTTAGAGGGGAATGGCGCAGCAAGCGTGATCGACACCGAGCGGGTCCGGTGTTACTGCCTGCCTGAGGCAAGTACACGAGAGGACACGGGCTCGAAATTATAGAATCTCGCAAACGTATTAGGCGTCGCCCAGCCGGCAGCTCTACAGATGTCTGCTATCGAGCGCCCCGCATAGGACCGCGATCTCTGCACGCAAGACAGGAGCATCCATGTCCAGCACAGAGGTGAACCGAATACCTCTGAACTTGGGAGGGTGTCGGGCGAATTGAATCGCATAGCCGAGTCTGATGGTTCTCATGAGCCAGCGAGAAGGCCTGGGGAGTGCTAACCAGGCCCCCAGCGACCGAACAAGCGGGACCAGGGAAACCACTGACGTACCCGCAGTGGGGCAGCGAAGTGGAACACAGGGACCCAACCCGGGAGGCCGTGCGTCCCAGGGTGGGGTCTGAGTGCGCGGCGTGCCACTTACCTGGCTCCACAGCTGGGCAGGGGGCTCGTGAGGAGGCATAGCGTCCCTGAACCGGACCCTGCTGCCCATAGGCGAAAGGAGAGGAGGACGGCCGTGTGGAGACTGGGTCTCGTGCACCGCCATCCTCGCCCCCTTGGGATCCGGATGCAAAGGAAACTGCTCTTCTATTGACGTTTTGGGAACAGAAAAAAACGGGAACAAAAGATTCTCCACCCAGCCCTCCTCCAGGGGAAGGAGTGGTGCGGTAACCATCACCTGAAGAGCAGGATCCAAGAGCTCCGGGTCGCCCGTCTCAGGGACGCTGGCGCTTCACGGGCTTGGCAGGGGCGGAGGCGGGCTGCGCCGGTTTCCTGTGGCCAGCTCCACGCTCAGGAGGGCGCCCTCAGCGACGAGCAGACAGAGGGACTGCAGCCAGTGGTGGGGTGGAGACAGCAGCAGACCGCCGGGGCAGGATGTTTTTTTTTCTTTTGTCGAAATGCCTCCGTCTGCTTCTGCGCGGCGGAGAACTGTTGGGCAAAGCCCTCCACCGCTTCGCCGAATAGGCCGGCCTGGGAGATCGGGGAGTCCAAGAAGCGATGCTTGTCGTCCTCCCTCATATCCGCCAAGGTCAGCCATAGGTGACGCTCCTGGACCACCAATGTGGACATCGTCTGACCCAGGGCCCGCGCTGTATCTTTCGTCGCCCTAAGCGTGAGGTCCGTCACCGTGCGCAGTTCTTGCAGCACACCTGGGTCAGCACCACCCTCGTGCAACTGCTTCAACGCCGTGGCCTGGTGGACTTGCAGGAGGACCATGGCGTTCTGGGGTGGAAGCGACCTGTCCAGCAGCACTGTAAGCCTTAGCCATCAGAGCGGACGAGAACTTACAGGCCCTGGACGGAAGGCGTGGACTACCTCTCCAGGCAGCGGCGCTTTGCGGGCAGAGCTGCATAGCAATAGCGCACTCGACTGGGGGGATGTCCACATACCCTTGGGCCACCCCACCGTCGAGGGTGGTGAGGACGGAGGAGGCACCAAGTCTGTTTCGGGCAGAAAAAGGTGCCTTCCAAGACTTAGTAACCTCCTCATGCACTTCCGGGAAGAATGGAACCGGAGGCAGCTGCCGACGACCGGCTTGCGCCCCCAGGAACCAATCATCCAGCCTCGAGCATTCGGGAGAAGGAGGAGGCCTCCAGTGCAGCCCAACACTCTCGGCGGCCCGGGAAAGCATAGCAGTCAGCTCTGGATCTGACTCGGGCAACGCCACTCTTCCTGACGGAGGCAGCGCAGCCGAATCCTCATCTCCAGAGCCTAGCTCGCCCTCCGATGCAGTGATCGATATCCTGTCATCCGCCTGTGCTCCGCACAAGATGCTGAACCCCTCCCTGTCCGAGGATCCAGCACACTCGTCTGGGAACTCCAGGTGGTGCGACATGCTAGAGGAATGAGAGGCCCGCAGAGACATACTCGACGGGGAAGCTCTCACCGTGATCCTCAGATCTCCCTGACCATGAACCGAAGTAGCCCTCAGAGAACCGGAGGACCTAGAGCGGGGCATGGCAAGGGGGATACCCCCCTGTTTAATGAGGAGGTATCTAGACCGCAACGTCACGGTGGTCATGTTCCCGCACTGAGAACATGACTCATCCATGAGCGCTGCTTCAGCATGCTGCAAGCCCAGGCACGAGACACAGTGATCATGACCATCAGATGAAGCCAGGAAGCGACCACATTCAGAAACGCACGAGCGGGAAGCCATCTTTAATAAGACGCCCGTCGCTCGTGAAGCTCTTTTTGAAATTGCTCTTTTTTGAGGAAATACTCTTTTAGAGAGCGCTGAAGCGCCCAGGGGAGGTAGCGGCGAGACCGCAGAATGGTAGAAGTCACCAAAAAAAAAAAAAAAAGGAGAGATGCTGAGGTCAATACAAACCTAAACATGGGAATATTCGTACATACTGAGTTGCAAAATCACTTCTATCACAAATTAAAATTATTTTCACCATGTCATTTGGAACCGGTATGACTTTTTGTGTTAAAACGCTGGGGTCTGAGGGGGGTTTGGGGCCCTGGAGAAGTTTTGACATGCCCTGACATTTGTGCTTTTTTCAATTGCTTATAAACATATTAATGGATAAAGTCTGACACTGTATCCAGCACAAACTGGGCTACAATAATATGTAATCAGCAATGTATATAAAAAAGTTTGTTTTAGTCCATACAGTGAAAAGTCAAAATATCTTCTTATATATTGCAGATGAAAGTAAATCACATAAGTTTGGACCAACAGAATCAGTAAATGATAACAGAATTTTTATTTTTGAGTGAACTATCCCTTTAACTGTATTTAATTCATGAATCAGAAAGTGACGAGTGTAATTATTTATCCACCTGTTTTACACTTTTCTATTCATATTATTATATTTTCTATTCATATATTATAAGAAAGAAAGAAAGAAAAGCATATGAAACCAATGGCTTCTCTGAAACAAAAAAGCTAATTTTAAACCATTTTAAAGCATGATCAGAGCTAAAGGAATAGATCACCCAGAAATTTTAATTTGCTGAGAATTTACTCTCAGGCTATCCAAGATGTAGATGAGTTTGGCTCTGTCCCAAATTACACACTTCATGTACACTTTCGGTCTTAAGGACTTAAAATGGCCGCTGCGTGTGCATGTCTATTAAGTTTGTGAGACCATAGGGTGTCCCATTCGTCATTTTAGCTTTCAGAAGGGTGCTGCTATGTTCCATCGATGTAACCTTCTGCTTAGCCCACGAGCTATGCAGCTGACTTCTACCCAGCAGTCAAAGCGGCATTACGTCATGAACTTTCGGACTCAGAGGAAGACTGTGAGGGTTTAGGGTGCCATTTGAGCCTTTGTCTCTTCATCAGAACAGATTTGGAGAAAATTTTGCATTAAATTACTTTGCTCACCAATGAAGTGAATGAGCGCCAAGAGAATGAGAGTTCAAACAGCTGATAAAAACATCACAATAATCCACAGGTAATCCACACGACTCCAGTCAATCCATTAACTTCTTGTGAAGTGAAAAGCTGTGTGTCTGTAAGAAACAAATCATAATTAAGGTGCTTTAAGTCCACTAACATATTTGATTAGAATTTTTTTTTTGCTTATAAACTTGATCTGTATATATTTCTCTCCTGATTCAGATGAAACAACTTTTCCTTGGAGAAAGTCATGGATAGGGGACTTGTATTTTAGCTGGAAGAAATGGTTTAAAATTTCTTGAATTTGTTTATTACAAGCATACAGGTAGTTCTGGCCTTCTAATTTGATTGGCCGAACAGTGTTCCAAAAGACATTTCACTGTTTGTATCACTCCACTTATCTGCATTCTAAACTTCTTTTGGAACAACAGTTAAAAATAAATAAATAATAGAAACAGAAATTCACTGGCCAAATTCAGTCTGAAATGTACTCTATATTCTATATCTTCTCAACGTCAGAGAAACATCCAAGCAAATCTCAGGATCTATTATGCTGCCAAGGAGGGTCTCAAAGTACCATCATATAAACTTGCCAGAGTAAAAGACCACTAACAAAGCACAAAGCCGGTGCTTGAAAGAACACAAACATGCATGCACACACTCTCACACACAATATGCATGCTGACAGAAGCTAATGAATGTCCTACGATCGGCTGCCAAAAGCCGTGAGAACCACTTCTCGGGCTTGTGGTGTCCTGCTGGGTCCCTGCAACACAAATGAGCATCGTGACAATATATTTCAGCACAGGAACACAAACTTAATCACAAAACCTACACCTGATACAGAAAAGTGCACTTCTCCACCTCATCAGAAACAAACACAGATCCTCAGCTTGCCAATAGGCCCTGTAACCAAGGGAACTGATATTTATTGTGCTGGAAAAACGGTTACAGGAAACTAGACACCTGCAATCCAGCCAATTAGCTTATGAGGGAATAGCACTGTTTCATTTCCTGACACTGAATGGCCTTTTCAAATGACCAAGAATAGCCATGAGAGTTATTCATGCTCGACGTATAATCAAAACCCAGACAGATCTCTTTATGTGCTTGCTTAGACAGGACTTACATCTCAGTGAGTTTAAGCTTTGTTTGTTTAGTAGGTAAGTCTATAGGGCGAATTCAATAAACAGTTCTGCTAATGCACTGAAATAGCACTGCAACATATTTAGATTATAGTAACTGTCATTGTTTTCACCACAAACACACTTTCTTTCCATTTAAATTAGGCTGATTAGCATTGAAGCCCATTTCCGTCTCAGAGTAAAATAAATGAAAATGTATCTCACAATAAACCCTTTGTAGAATATAGACTTTATATTTCGCAATATATGGCTTTTTTAGCCATTTACTTTATCATAATTGTGAATGCTATATACCCCATAAGGTGACTTTGTATCCTGCCATGTTAACTTTATATCTCACAATTGTGGCTTTATATCACATAATTTGTATTTCTATTATTTTAATTATACATAATTTTTACTCTGAGGCAAAAATTGGCTTCCAAAAAAACCCAAAACCCAACACTTAAAACTATTTGCCTGGTGCATTTTTGTGCAACTACTTCTTACGGAAAGGGACTTAATTTAATTTTAATAGATGTTTTTGTGCATTTTATATTATGACAGCAGATATTAATCAAATGATGAAGAAGAAGAGTGATAATTAAGAAGTAATTTTTAAAAAGAAATATCATTGAAATATCATTAAACATGTTGTCAGGTTTTCCACCTGTCTGGTATGGGACAAAACAAATCTCTTTAGCTATTAAAAGCCAAACACCCGGGGAAATTTAAATCACCATTTCTGAAGGAGCCACCATTTGTGATCTTTTTCCTGTTCCGCCCAGTTGGCATCTCATGGGTATGATATCCTACGGTAGACAGCGGCAAGCTGCTACATACTCAAGTTGCCAAAGGTCCTCCACTTGCCTTGACCCCTGCTGACACCTGATCCCCCTGAAACCATCTTTTATTCCTCCTTCAAGAAGCAACATTAGGATCAGACGCTTCATCTATCTTCCTCCGAGGAGGTGGATGTGACGAGTGTCGAGACAGAGGAGACTGTGGACTCGCCACCACAGTCCCTTGCGTATGAGATGTGATTCGTGATTATGGGGTGTGTTTCGTGCCAAAATAAAATATCGTTTGGCCAGCCTAGAAACAGGACGCTCGTCCTAAAAATAATTAGTAATAATCCAGATCACAGCCTTCACGACGGGGGCCGTCATCTCCATGCTGAGGTGTCAAGATCGTGGGAGAAACCATACTCATCCCGTATTACAGCCCCACAGTCTCGAATTATTCAAAGAACATCATGGGGCTGAATGATAAGGTATATGGGGCGATGCCAGTGGTGGAGCAGACGCTTTCGAGCTATCTCTCCCCATCCTCAGCATCGTCCCTGAAGGCCCCGAAGCTTCCCACCAGGCCCGTTAGGCTTACATCGAGTCTGGTTGGGAAAGCTTATACGGCGGTAGGTCAGGCTGGCGCATGTTTGCACACCATGGCGGTGTTACAAGCATATCAGATCGATAAAAATAGATTGGGGTGGGGCTGCTGGGCGAGCAGCAGCCCAAGTCATAAAGCTCCTCATATCGCCAGTCTCATACCACGGTTGCCTTTGGCTTGCTTAGCTGGGGTTTTAAAGACAATGAATATTGAGTAATCTTATCGATCTGATGGCACTGTGCACTGTCAGATGAGAACAAAACTGAATTGAACTGAATATATGATTACACTATTTTCTTCTGTAGAGCTGCTTTACAGCTAAATCAAATTTGTTTATAATTTTGCAACATAGACACTGTTATTGAACTTAAGTGAATCAGCACGGAACTGACTTGAGTTGAATAAATAAATAGTGCCTTCTGTAGAGCTGAACTTAACTTGTTTCAGAATTAAAACCATAGTTATTGAAGTGAACTGAAACAACACTGAACTGACTTGAGCTGAATAATGATACTACTGTCTTTTCAGAACTAATTTACAGCTGAATCTAATTTGTTTATAATTTTGCAACATAGACACTGTTATTGAATTGAACTGAATCAACAATGAACAAACTTGAGCTGCATATTGGCACTGTCATTTGAATGAGAGTGTAAATTTTCAAATGTGAATTTGAATATGTTTCATGGTTTAAAAAAGTTTGCATTGATTCTGCTATTAAAAAATACTGAGTACTCCCTTGGGTTCACTGCATAAAGTGACGTTAAACAAACTTGTAAATCTTGTCAAAGTGTGTAAATAAGCATGGGGTGTAATAATTGAATAAAGACATTGATTGGCAGTGTTGCATCAAACAGGCTTTGATGATATTTCTCTCTTGTAATGCATGCACATGGTTTGAACCCAACCCTTGCCTGCAGTCACACTCAGGAATGTGCCAGAGAAGGGAAGTTCCTCTCCTTGGAAGAGCACAGCCCTCCACTGCATCCCAGAAACGGCCCGTGAGCACCTACGCTGCATGCTAACGAACAGAGCAGAATGCCAGAGGGCAGTGAAGATCTTAAAGTTGTGTTTTGATAAGGGCATGTGATCTTGACCCACAAAACAGCAGAATGGAGAGAACAAAAACACTAGAGTGTTAAAAGCTTGAGACGGCCAAAAGTAGCTCTTACCTGCACTGTAACAAAACTCCACCATGAAAAAACATTTAAAAACACATTAGCAACTTAACATGTTTAAAAAGGAGAGAAGCTTTGTTTGGACAGTCACCACACCTTCAATAAAGACAACAATGACTTCACCTTAACAAGTTCAGACATATTTTTTTTTGGTCTCAGGTCTTTCATGACCTCACCCTGTATCCAGATTCAGCCTGTACCTTCATTCGGGCTGACGTAGCAGTAGAATCCCAGGAAATCTTTTGGCAAAAAGGAAGTTTGGATTGCAGAAGCTCATCGCATCAGGGCCCTGACAGCACAGGAGGCGATGTCATCATGGGCCCGGGCCAGAGCACTTCATTGTCCCTGCTCATGGCACAACAAAAGAGGTAAATAAACATCAGCAGCCCTGACTCCCCTCTGCTGTCAGTCCAATTACCCACAAATCCATACCTCTCAAAACATCTATTTACCCATGACCTCAACGGCTCGTGCCTGAGGTGTTTTTTTGGGGAGGCAGGGAGGGGGACATGTGTTTGTGCATGCATTTAAACCACTTTCACACTGAGTCAACAGTTATCCTTCCTGTTCAATGTCTGAAATATCCCATCCAGCAGATAAAGATCTGCCCTCTGTCCAAACCCCATAAATCACTCAATTCGCATAGCCACTGAGACAGAAAGACCCATGAGGGACAGAAAAGCCATAGAGCATCAGCCTGTAAACTGCAAACAAACAAATAAATAAATAGATAAATAAATAAATAAATAAATAAATAAAATATATAATATAAATATAAATATAAAAATAAATAAATTATAATAATAAATGTTTATGTTCATGTTTTCATGTCTTTCATTTTGTATTTTCTTGTCTTGGTTCCTGCCTTGTCATGTGGTCCTTTGTTCATGTGTCTTGTTCTCATTGGTTGGATTGAATCATGTGGCCCCTTTGTTTGATATATAGGCCTATAGCCCTCATGTTTCATTGTCCATTGTCCAGCTTTATTTCCTGTAACCGCTGTTGATGAGTGTCTTGGTTTATGTTCAGGTTCAGGTTTACTTTCATTTCATGTTTCTTTTTCAAGCCAAGTATGATCAAATCAAGTCTGTACACGTTTGGATATCAATAAACTGCACTTGGGTTTCATCACAACTCTCCTACAGTGGACACTTCATTACAGAAAGCTAAACCAACAACAATGAACCCAGCAGTTTCCTTGCTTTACCTCCGTCAAGGGGATTGATGCATTGAGGACTACTTGGAGGAATTCTGTGAACTTTGTTACCTAGTTCATTTTAATTATGTGGCATTAAAAGACATTTTTTGTAATGGGTTAAATGAACCCATTTGTT